GAACTGACAAAGCCTTAAATAGAGAGTTGGCGCCCTTAAATATTTGTCTGCAAAAGAAAGGTTCACTAAGGCAATGGTGATCTGGAAACGCGGACGTAACGTATCAGTTATGCACTCGCGGCGCGGTACTCGCAATATTCGAAGATATCCTACTACACTGCCTACTAGTACACGTTGCAGAAATGCCCCGATGAAATGCAATGTGCAACTAAGGCAAGGAAAAACTAAGGGCAAGCAAAAAAAAACTTATAAAATTGCACGTTGTTTTCTGCTTAATATTCTAGGAACGAATTGTAGAATAATCGCAGTATCCTGAATATTGTTGCTGCGTTCTGGCCTCATATCGTAGTGATACTGCAATGAAGTTACCACGTAACTTGCAATGAAGTTCTCCGACGTGAAAAAACTATCTACCTAGAGAAAGAGAACATCTTCGCTTCCATGAAGCAATACTCTGTCCAATTTTTGTGTCTTGTTCACCGCTTGCTTTGTACTTCTGCCCAGTCAAAGTTTACCGTATCTAGTCGAAACCTGAGGCAAATTCTGTGTCGTTGGCTCGTTCTAGGTAGGATCGCCACGCGCTTTTATATGTCGTCGCAAAGTGAACTGGTTTTCTCAGCCTTTTGGTTCCTGTCGGGTTCGGCCGAGAAGAATTTCAAATATCTGAGATACGCGCACATACACACAGAATGGTTTCTTGGATCATTTAAGCGTCCTTAAAGTCCTCCAGTATCTTCTCTGTAGTGTCCGCTTTCGTTTTCGGCTGTCTAAGCGTAGCATATAGGATAAACGAGGCACAATGAAACGACATGCCATGTCTGTGTGCTTGATATAAAGATTGTTTCACACTGCAGAGTCGAACAGTCGTTACATCGCTGTAAAGAAAACCTGCAAAACTACGCAGATCCTCCCTTTCCAGTGTGTGATATAGCTCACGAGGATGAGCTCTCCTTGTCCCTAAAAATAGCTAGTGGCGCTAGAACGGTATATAATCTGTTTCGCTTTGGACAAAAAACCTGGAGCGATGCGTTCTATGCAAATCATGCTTGCCCCATATTCGACTGCAGCTGCGGCATATGTCCTTGGTTGGGGGTCACCTGTAACTTGAATAGTAATGATAAAATTTAGTAAATAGCCCTGCTAATGGCGAATTATCGATACCGAGAACTAGAAATGGATTGATGTGGGCGTCGATAAGGCTAAATTAACAAAAGTATTTAGAAGGACAGAGAAAGATCGAGAGCGCTATCGAAGGAAAGAAAAAGTCGTAACGACAAAGATCGCTAGCTGAGATAATCATACGGTGGGTGCTATTTAACTCTATTGGATTATCCTAGCTAGCGTTTGGCTTAATTTATTAAACAAAGAATTGAAAGATAAGTAGGTAGGATATATATACGAATGTCGACAGTGCAGTAAAACGTTATCAGAGCTTTATAAATTTAAATATAATTAAACATTACATGCGTCAGGTCGAAACCACGGAAAGCACTTGGATTAACATCACAGACAACTGTTGAACTGTACTAACACGTTACGACAACCGAAAATAAGCACAGTATATAAAAAATAAATAGATATACCGGATAGACATAAGAGCACACTTAAACGATTTAAGTATGTTTTTTTCTCTGTGCAAGATCTTAATTTCGTCTACGCTACCACAACGTGATAGCCAGCCTAAAAGTATGCCAAAATTTCCTACAATTTTTCAGAAAAGTAGCTACTCTAGTGAGTATGTCTCCTTTAAACGGACGTTTTAGAGTTCGCTAGAAGATCACATCCACCCTATTTGGGGAATCCCGATTATGTCTGTTATTATTCAGCGTGTCATCATCCTTCAGAAAAACTTCCATGACTAAAAATCTCGAGAAAATTTTAAACGACTCTTTGTTCTTTTCTCATTCACTAATAAATGATTCATATCCCAATGGGCAGTATCAATCTACAATGAACTTCCAAAAGAAAGTAAAGTTTTTGAAAATATACGGTTATAAATAATATATAATGTTAGTAAATAACGTTATTATTATTATGGTTATTATATTTTATAAGCCTACCAACTTGTTTTTTTTTAATTGATTAATTTGTTGTTATGAAGACTGTTGTTATATTGCTTTTTGAACGGAATGGACTCATAATGCCCTAGCAAGCAACCGATGTTCACACTGTTTGGTCTCTTGACCATTAACTAGATCTAATGTTGATATGACACTCGGAAAATGAAAATCTCTTTATCATGATATAGCAAAATGACTGCAAAAGGGTAAAATCAACGATTCAATTGCTATGGGACCATGGGATGATCGACACAGGGGGCTTTGCATCTGCCAACACAGTCTAAGGATGATTACGAAAAAGGACCGACGACAAGCGGAATTATTGAAGCATGCATGTGATCGGATGCTGACATGGCGCTGCAATGACACGATTCAGATCTTGAGTTGTTTACTCAAACCGCTAGGAGAGATGACGCGAGGGCTGCATCGAAAACACGGCAGCTGACAAGATAACGACGGACGGAAGGTTGTAGTTAGAACGGGAAAGTCATAAGTGGCTAGTGCAACAAGACCAGAAAATAAACGATCGTAAGATAATAAATACATAAGCCTGGTCCTCTTTAGACGAAACTGGGCAGACGCTATCTTAAGTTTTCATTTACCGAGGGCTTTCTGAATAAAGTACAGTTTCTGACCATTCAAGCAGAGTGACTACTGCTATTTGGTCCTGATATTAGTCATTTATTTAGTATTTTTTCTGGACAATCTTTCAATTGTTTACGTTGTAGTATGCACGTTTCTGAATCATTGCACTCTAAGGATGCCGCCATTGCAACAAAGTACTAGTTTTAATTCGTTAGTAATACAGGGTACGAACGAGATTTCGTTAGTATTATAGACGATGAACGTCACGCATTGGTACACGTTATTGTGGTATTACTAATGATACTGAAGCAATTAAAGTAGTGTAAATATCGATTTTGCATAAAGCTAAAAATTTTCCTCGACTTGTTATTTTGGTGGGTTTCACGCATGCTATTTTGGGAAGGTTTGCTGAGAATTAAGTCCACTGGTATACTTCTATAGCAAATGCATACAACACAAGACAATCTCATTGTGTAAAAATATTTCTTGCTGGGCGTTCGTCCTTCGGCGGTTATTGTTAAATGTATTACTCATTTAGGTCAAAAATGAAGGCCCCCGAAGCGATCGGTCCGTAAAAAACCTTTTCTCTGCACAGCTCGCTCGTTCGTTCAAAGTGTAGGTCCACATAAAGAATGTCTGATGAGCACATGCTGGTTCATTTAAGGCCTATCTGAAAAGTGCATAGTGCCAACCGGGTTGAACACTGCCGACGTTCAGGCCGTACATGTAGAAGTAGCACATAACGAAGTATGCTTTTTACTTATCGATATGGTCAGCTCACTGTTATAACACATTTTTCGGCAAAAACTTATCATCCGGAATCGTTCAAGCAAACGATTGGTTCGCGCATGGAGCTCTTGCCCATAATTCAGTTTAGACCCATTTGATGTACATCATATTGCACATGCGCACACACTGGGATGTATTTCCGTTTTCTTTCGTTATAGTAATGTATATAACAATATATGTATAATAATAATAATGGGGTAAAATTACAAGCCGGAATGATATATTGGTAGGCAAATGAAAATATTTTTTCATAAATACGAAAGCGTTTACCACTACAGTAGTATGGCACTATAGTTACTAAAATGCTCTGAATCTCACGCTATTCACGCTAGGAAAGTTTAATCAAAGTTCGACTGGTGCAATGATCTTTGTTCTGTTTTGTGTAGGTTCATATTCGTAGATTTGAAAACAAACAGCGAATAAAAACCATAATGAAAAGTTCAGTCGTATGACATATATGTTTGAATAAGGCGTTAAATGTTTAGTGACTTTTCTTTTGGTATTTTATTTATGCTTTCCTTCCCTTTTCATTTTGAGGTACGATTTAGAAGCGTATTTACTAAAAGATAAAATAAACAGTGGATCAGTTTTCATATAATTAGTTTAACCTTGATTCATTTGCTACAGGGTTGCTTGACTCTCCGACTACCCTACACGTATATATATATATATTTACCCAAGTATTATTACATGGTCAATTGGTACCTCTTGACATTACACCTACGAAATTTATTATTCTTTGTGTCGGTGGGTCATCTATTTACCCTCGCAGCAGGTAAAGAAAATACGTTGCCTCATCTTTCTGTCAAAATTAGCAGTTCACACACATGCTTGGCAATTTGCTTTGTCTGATAAAAAGCTGTATTCGTTTAGAAATTTTACTTCAAAGGATAAACGCCTGCCGAACGGTCGTTCTCCTGCACCAAGGAGTAAATTGACCAGATAGAATGACCAGTAGACAGACCGCATTTAGACGTAAATTTTAATGCAAAATTTAGGAAATGCGTTTATTGTTTTTTGTAAGGCACAGCTTATCACCACTGTTGAACAAGCAGTACAATCCGCATAAGTTTTCTAAACCCGCATAAGTATGTGATTGATTTCGAATTATGCCGTTCATGTCTAACACATAAATATAAAACACAGTAGAGCAATTTTCCTGCGGCACTTCAAAGTGGTCGGCTCACCTTATATTTTCTTATTATGGAGGGAGGGGAGGGGAGGGGAGGGAGGGAGGGGGTAACTATTGAGTTTTTAAATGACTCCAGTGAAGCTCCGTCCTTTTAAACGTTCGGTATTTGTTCAAACCTACGGGACTTACCTGACTTCCCTGTACAGTCGACTTACAGGAGCAGCAATCATAACTTTTGCGAAATTAATGGTGAATGAAAATATGTTGATAGCTGGTAAATTAATTTAGGCAAAGAAGAAGAAAAGATAATAGAGCAAAACAGACAATGGCAAAGCTGCTGGGAACGACTCTTTATGGAAAAGGCCTTAGAAGCCCATGATAATGACAAATTAAATAAAAACATTTGTCTTCTGCTGTACGTGACTCATTTTCAGGAGGAGATCCAAAGTCGGTGACAGCGACCACCGGCGCACTAAAGGAAAGAAAGGAGCGTCGAGACAAAGACGGCAAAGATCGAGGGGGGGATCAACGAGAACGGGAAGTTCGTTCGCAGGCGTCCACCCCTGAGGAGGAAGATTTTTCATGGGATTTTGGTTCGCCTGATCACGAGAATTACGAACCCCATCGACATCTTGCAGGGCGGCCATCGCTGGTTAGCTTTACACCACTTGTGCCTCTCGTGCCTGCGGTTCCTGTTGTTAGCGGTAAAACCGCGCAATCTTTGCCACTTGGAACTGCAGAGCTGTTATTAAGTCCCGCCGATTCTGTGGGTGATAAAACAAAGCCGCCGCAGTTAGTTCCGGCGCGCCCGCCACCCCCTCCTCCGACTCCTCCAATGCCGACTGGCGCAGGGAAACAATCAGACATTGCTGCAGCTTCTCTGGCAAAGGTCGCTTTGGCCGATAGCCAACAACATGCACCACAAAGGTAATTCTTGCAAATGTAACAATCTAAGATGAGTCTCCAACAAGTGATAAGCTAGATACACACTCATATGCGAATTGAGGAAGGGTTATCGGTGGTCGTAAGTCATTCCTCTACGGGCCGCTAGTAGCTGATCGTTGACTTATTACGAGACGATATGTAAGGCTCCTGAGATGTCAATCAGACAAATACTGTCACCGTTGGTATAAGGCTTTTGGCATGACGATGCTATCTGAAAGATCAATACTGGTACAGTAGGGATTAAATCTGCCTTAACGGTGTCATATAGTGATATCAATTTGTTGTCAAAGTTACCAAAACAACATCAGAACGATTTATGAATACAAAAAAAAATGTGTGCTGAGTAGTGTTCGAAAAATATTCTCAAGTACGTGCTTTAAGGGTCAGCCATTTAAAATGATTTGTAATGGTGAATACTTTTGTGTCATGTCTAAACTTGCTCACAAGAATAAGTAATGGTCACCGAAGCAACAGCCGTGTGTATCTAAAGCGTTAAAATGTATTTCGCATATTTGTCGGAATCCGGTGACATTTCTTCTATGCCGATTAGAACGAGCGCCGGGTTGAAGGCCGTCTTCAAGTTCGTGAACTTTTTTAAAATGCATTTTTCCGTCAATAAAACGTATTATCGGTTTTAGGAATTTCCGTACTTATAATGTACGCGTGCTGGAACATGTGCCATTCAAATCGTCGTTTAATATGTACGGAAATCGTCCAGAATCGCGTTGGGCGTGGAAGTTACTCGGCAACTGCCCATGATCATGATAGATAACACAAAAGCAAAGTACGGACATACCCATTCCGCCAGTTTTAAAATACTGAACAAAAAAATGCGAATTGGAATCGATATCGGACAGATCGCATAATTGTAAAAAATCGATAAAACTAGCTATATTTAGAAATACTAATCTTCAGTTGTTGCAGCAGCGCGCGAGGTGATTTTTACACTTCTGATTCAATGCAGTGTTGTAGAGGCTACAAAGACCTGCTAAACAGTCGTCAGTTAGGTACTTTTGATAAGTACTAAATAGCATCAACGTAAGCCTTTTCCGTGCATATGATGGATTACTGCCTATAACCTGTTATTTATGGAACTGAAATAGAGAAGGCTTATGACACTAAGTATAGTCCTTGTTATTGTTCACCTTCTTCGCTGTTTATTCATGCCATACAGGCCTGCTCCACCGGTGCCGATGACAGTTTCAAGCCGTTACGAGAACTGCGTTGACCCATCTGACAATGCTGCCCAGACAGCGGCTCGTGCACTTCTTGAGCAACAGCATCGAGAAGATAATCGCGTTCGGAAGCAACGGGAACAGCGGCAGTGCGTCATTACTGAAATGATTCAAACAGAAAGGGACTACAACCAAGATCTGCGGCTGTGTTTTGACACGTTCCTCAAGGACCCCATGCAAGCGAGGCGGCTCGGTCAGTGCTGTTGATAGAAACAAATTAGACACCTATTTTTAGTATTATTAAAAGATATAATTATTGTAGAGGACATTATCATGTTGGTGATCGAGCTATAATTTCCGCACAAATTTGTCTTGGAGTACAATAAGTAAAGCTTGGCGAAATTTTTCGTTTTTAGTGACTATCCTGAATGTGCGGTGTGTATCCTGAGTTCGGAAGTTATAATAGGTTAATTTAGACTGAACTGAATATATATAGGTCGTTGAATGTCCGACTTTGTGTCGCCCCGATCTCCGCTCTGAGAGTTCAAAGCTTTTGCAACATGTGGCATTCAACTTACCCTGCATTGATTAAAATGTCAGATAATTGTATATTTTGTTCCATAAATAAAAAACTGCTAAAAGCTATTAATACATTTCCGTGCCATTAATATAAGAAAATCTACAGCTCCACTTAGATGCATCTTCCCAACAAATCACACTTTGACCTAACTTAGCATTAATATAACAGTTCGTAGTCTTTGAACAGATCCTGGAAATGGATATTCCAGCATCTTAGCAAATTGAAATTAGCTGTTCCATAGGAATCAACTAACAACTCGCCCTGCTACGTACTAATGCAAGCGACAAAATGGCAGGCTTAACAATTATGTATACTTTTTCGTAACAATAACTCTAGCTATTGATCGAATAAATGGAACTTGTACCAATATCAGTGCACGACAAACGAAAATCTTCATTTTGTTTCTACGTTATTTATTAGACACTCAATAATTTAAGCAAACATTAGCAACAACGAGGAAATGCCCCGTCAACAGGCTGTGAGAACAAGGTTTTATAACAGCAGTCAAAAAAAGTTTTATCCAAACCAGCAGAGGCGCGACGACTTGGCCGATAGTTACTTGTGTTGGAAAAAAAAACGTTGTATTTCTGGTTGGAGGCTGAAGGGCTTTGACCTAAAGGTGGTTCCGCATAGGCAAAACTAAAATATTTAATATTCTTGGTTTTTCTGTGAAAATTCAAAATACTTATACTAGAGCATAGATTACTCTCTCACGATGAGCAGGTCAGGACAATCTGTTTCGAATCGGAGAACTTTAAAAATTCTGAAGTTATTTAATACACTAGACGTAATCTGTTAAACACTTAACCGGAACAGAACAATAGGATTCTCAGAACTGTCTTTATACAGAATAAAATTATTATTTTTTGCCAATATACCGGAAATATGGGGGGTTATTATAACAATAAACATACCTGTATGTTTCGAGTTTTACGTCCGGCATTGCCGTTAGGCTGGCTCCCTGCATCTACTTATGCCCTGCTTAAAACAACGCGTCTCTAAAATTAGCAGACAAATACGTTACCCACTGATAAAGATACTTGGAAAGCCTTTCACATATGCAGCAACTTTACTGTATTTTGCTATTGCTTTTCAACTATCTAGAGAATAACATCGTGATAAATACTGCGACATGTTATTACTAGGACTGTTGATCTATAAGGATAGGTAAGCGATGGTGAAGGATACCAGACGAACTACTCGAAGTTGAAGGTAAATCGATCCCTAAAAATACCAAAGGGAAATTAGTATACGACTTTGATCAATACAAATATCTTGGGCAAATGTATTTTTTTTCTTGGCTTTAAATTAGTATTACGATAAAAATCCTTGCAAAGGTCCGTCCAGTTTCTGATCGTGTCCTGTCAATACTTAAAAGCGAGCGAGCGAGGCAGAACGATTTTATCAGGGAGTTACATCAACTGCTCTATTTACGATTGCAGTAATCTTCATCGAAAAAGATAAGCGCGACAAAATTGTGTACGAATACCTTGAAAGGTCTGTGTAAACTTTTGAAGATCACTATCGATGCCAGATTATATTTTAGTGATCTTAGATGATGGCCAATATTTTCCTATACATACATACATACATACTCGATACAAAGCTCATACATAAATAGGAGTGGAAATACGATCCAAAGCATTGCTGCATTGAACACATCCAAACGTTTATATCGGTACAATCGTTTGATTTCCAATCGGAACCAAGGTCGCTACTTCTGATTTCAGAAAATCCTGGACAAGCCCATTACGGGTTTGGCAAAAGTATTAGTTCGTTTAGGTAATGCGATATTGACTGGTTCTATTATCCAGGAGCGTTCTTACAAACCCAAAATTGTTTGAATGAGTCAAAGGTTTTGGAGTTGGTTGGATAAATTGGCTCAGAAAGGAGCTATGTTTGAATGTTTCAAGGAACGTTGTGTCGCAAATAATGATGAAATCAAATTTACCTCTAAAACATTATAACCCTTCATTTCTCTATTTGTTGCTGTTAATGCCGGTGAATACAGCGTTGGGGCAGTTATCTCGCGTCACACCCGACAGTTATGAAAAAGCGATGCACAGCGCCAGTTAATCATTGGATAAGCTGAGCACAAACACGCACAGATAGGAAAAAAGCTCTAACTATTGTATCTGCGCATCAACGATCGGTAAAGTATATCCCCAAGAAAAAACAAAATAGCTTCTAAGTCTCTCCTAACTATGTTCGGCAAAAAAGGGAAAAGATTAAGAAATAAACGACTCTTCTGCTGGGATATCAGTTTAAGATAGAATACAAAAACACTAGCGAGTTAGGTGCTGCTGATGCTTTAGCGCGGCTTATAGCTAACCGGTGAACTTATCAGATACTGAAACGTCGTAGAGATTACAAGGACTCTCAATATTTCATTCTAAAAACAGCATACTCTCTGTCAGTAACACTGGAAAATATACGATAGGGAATTGAAAGTGACTTGACTCTTCAAGATGTAATTATATACTTTGAAACAGGGCAAGAGCCACAAAGTAAAAAAGATCATGACTTATTATTTTTGACTTATTATAACTACGCAAGTTCTTATTAGTCTAAAAAAAAGATGTATCAAGTTAAGTAATCGTATTGTAACACCAATTTTTTCACAGCCGGAATTATGGGAAGAACTACATACTTCGCATTTATGGTAGCACAAAATCCAATATAAATTCGGGTACTGAATAATAAAAACGAAGCTAAAAACCCAGCCATGACGAAAATGACTACGACTTTTACAGCATTCGCATGTTTTACTTATCCCAAAATGCTATAAAGTGACCATGGGTTACAAATTACTGTGCCAACATTTACCAAGTTCGTCAGGTCAATTGAAATAGAACATTAAACCATTCTACACCATTACCAATTTAATGGGTGGGCCAAAAGTCCGTCTATATTAAAAAGAATTAAAAAAAACTCCCACGAATAACTGAAAAATCAAAATAAGGTTTGCGATTTCCCTTTGATGTCTTAGTGGTCTTAGATCACGAAAAGAAGACAAAGACTACTAAAGCAACATTGGGGCCATTGGGCTCTACAAGGTCATGGACGAAAATTTTAGAATGGTCAAAGTACATGGGTGAAAGAGTTCGGGTCAAAAGTGTCCGGTTTAGACATCTGATGTACTTAGAGGAAAATTTAAAAGGGCTGTCTATGGAGTACAAGTAGAAAGATGTGTGGCATTCAAGATAGCTTAGAAGTGCTACTCTCGAAAAAACTATTACTTGCAGAAAAATTATTGCTTTACAAATTACTCAAAAAGGCCAGTACCGTTTCCAATAGTAAAAGTACAACGAAGAAAGCAAGTACCGGAAAGGTTAATCATGTTACCGAACATGAAAAAATTTATCGAAGAGAGAACCTCGTTAAAAAAAGAGCTGGTGTATATACACACATGTCGAGTAAAGCCTGAAACCGATTTTAGTTGTCTACTAAACTACGATAATACTATTCTATCCTAAATAACAAATATATTAGTCAGCCTGATTGGATGCTGAACCTTTTGCAAAAGCAAAAAAAAATGCAAAGCCCTTTATTCAGGAAATGGGACAAGCCTATTGTATTTATACTGATGATGCAATAACTTGTACAAATTTAGATACTAACAGTTATATACTTCAAAGACCACTTAGAGTTGAAAATAATTATCGTAAGCGAAAATTAAAGGGAGTTGTATACTAGAATAACGAGTATGTAATTTCATTGTTAGAGGTTTAGTATTGTTTTTAAAAATAGATTTATTTCTAAACAAATACTGGAAAAGATGTGTCAATGGCTACAGTACAGCCCGGTTTGTTGCAGGACATTGTGTGCTACAGAGCATCATCACCAAATAACACCATGCTGAATGGCTGATAAGTTAGACTGTTCTTATATTTATATGTTTATTAGAAAATATATCTATTTTGTATGCGAGATTTTTCTTGAAATTTCATTTAATGCACAACTTTGCAATGGACAAATCACAAACCTAACTTAGGTCATTACCGTTAAGTCGAAGCATCGAAAAGTGAACTAAAACTGAAGAAGGATCGTTGAGTATACGCGCAACTCATGTGTTTGGTATTTGTATTGTTCTCTTTGAAAGCAGCTTCTATGGCTGTGAAAAATTTCCTGATATATTGCCTTTAACGTATTCATCGTCTCTTTTACAATGTTAGTCTAATTCATGAGAATTTTAAAGGGTACAGTATTTTAGGAGGGATGCATCTACTTTCAGCAAAGTTTAGACCTGTTACATCAAAAACAGCCGCAGAAAATTTTCTTATGAATGACTATATGGCATCCCTCGTTCGCTTGCAATCCATTAGGCACTGACCTGGAAATTGGCGAACTCGACCTCAGGCTATGCGACGTAGTTCATGTACACATACTTCTGAAGGACATGTTATCCTTAAGTCCTGCAGACGTGCGTACGTACGTATAGTCTTAGTTTCGCTTGACGAGCTGAGTTGCATGGCCCTTCCGAACAGATTGCACGTTGAACGGAATTTCCAATTAGGAATTTGGGAATGTAATCGACTGCAGAGATTAACCTTCAGCGGAAGCAGATTCCCGAGCGGTCAAACGATTTGCTACGGAAAACATCGGTAGCGAAGTGTGCTGCAGGCATGGTACGCAGAGATAGATGCCAGACGATGCAGTATCTCGTGTGCATCGTGCCCTACATCACTACTATTATCGGTCATTGTAACTGCATTAGAGAACAGGGTAGATGAACATCTGAAATCGAATCTATATGGACAGGGATAAAGAAAAAGGGCATATTGTTGAGCCAACTTTGTTTACTCATCCAAAGGCCGGCAACTTGGACATGCTAAAATACCTTAAGCTGATCTCCTGACATTGCTAAAACAACAAATCGGTTGCAGTTTATTTCCATAGGCGCACATAAGCAAAGTCCAGAATGTGACGGTTTATATACGTGCAGGTATGCGAACACTGACGCACTCACACACACATGGTGGTTGTGCCGCTGTTAAAACTCGCTCTACTTTCTAGATAACAACAAATCAACTTAACTTTCTGCGCAGTATTTGTGCATTAAAAGGCAGTATGTCCGTGTTATTTCTAAGGGTTTTTAGAGACTGAGAGTCAAGAATGGCTGAGAAGCGCACTAAATTTTTACATGCTAATATTCTCAGCAGCTAGCAAGTGAGGTGAAGAGCTTGCTAGACTAGTTCAAGCTTCGCTATGCAACGTACGTGTGACGGGGTTGTATCAGACAGAGTTATTTTAAGTAAGTACTGATTCTGCTCAATCCCAAAACGTTCTAACGTTGTTATTAATTATTTATATCTTTGTTTTCAATGTTGTTTTTCATTCAGGCATAGACACGGTAACATTATTTGGAAATCTAGACGAAGTTATTGAGGTCTCATCTCAGTTACTAGCCCGAATGGAAACAGAGCAAAAACGAATGGAGGATGAACAGCGTGTAGGAGCCTGCTTTGGTGAACTCGTTGCCCGCCTTCAAGACATCTATTCACACTATTGTCGAAATCACGATGATGTATCCGGCCTGCTGGCCAGGTACGAGCGAGACGCCGACATCAATCGGTTTCTTCAAAATGGTAAGATATACTTTACACGAGGTTTTTTTTCACTATTTTAGTATATCTGTGTGTCACCACTGTTGAATAACAACAGAAAAGGACGCTTGCGTTTGCCTAATTTTATCGTTAATGCTCCTATAGAATTTCATAGGATTAACAAATGGGGTGATGGTAGAAATGATTCGGAAAGCCAAAGGTTATGTGAAACCAGTCGAAAAGCTATTTTTAGCCAAACTAGTCAACATAGCGGCATTTCTATCGAACAATTACCACAATAAAACTACATAAACATACAAATAATCATTCGGTTTTTCTGACGAATGTTCCGTTAATAATGTTAATATGGCTGAAACTAAAACTGACAAGCTCGTCATTTTTTCACATTCAACAAAAACCTAGGTTTCGTGAGCTATAAAGCAAAACTGGATGAGCTGATTGCACCAACGCTATTGTCATAAGTACTACATTTCTCTGGTGATCACTTACACTTTCTTGGGTCAATATGCGTTTAAAGCTATTTTTTTGTCTAGTAAAAGTCACTGTCAGTATGTTTTTTAGCTCACCTCTAGAAAATTAGCTGTTGTATTTAAGTACTTGGAATCTTTCCGATAGTGGTCCTCTAAACCAGTGATTTTGTTTATATTAAATCTCTAATTCAATGCCACCAGCCAAATTGATACAGTTGCATAAGAGAACATTTCTGTCATGGTTCGAAATATAAAATGGTCAAAGCGTAGTGAAACAGTCAGTATGACATTAGTTTTTTTTACTAGCTTTGAAAGCTAGCGGGTTTCCGGCAAAAATCTGGATGGTACGCACCAGTTGCAAGAGAAAGTCTCTCGACAACTGAAAAATCTCAAATAAAGTAATGGGCGACACGCGACATAAGGGCGCATCTTGCTGGGCAACACATTTGTAATAGGAGCACTTGTTCGATGACTTTCCGCTCACCCAATAAATATACTTTTATTATTAAACAACTTAAAACGTTGTGCCGACGGATTGTGTATTATGTCCACCTGATGTCTTACGTAGAACTGAAGACTCGATGAATAATCCGAGCAAGAGTTATTAGACTCTCAGCCTCGAAGAAAAAAGAAGCGATGATTTTGTGGTTTGCGATGTAAAATTGTTTTACGTTTTTTTGCGCCTTGCTGTACAGTTCATTTCAGCATATCGCTTCTGAATTTGTGAGTCATGGTTTAGTCCTAAGGAAACTGTGTGTAAGCGAAAAAAAACCGTTTACGGGAGCGGCGGTAAGAACGAACACGTAGTCAGCATCCATCGCATTGGCTCCTACTAAACATTGCCAAAAAATTATATAGTTTTCAAATAAATTTCTTGTTTTTAATACTCATGATAAGTTTAATAGGCGCAGTAGTAGGCTGATCGCTGGCTACCCTCGTATTTGATTAATTTACTTTTAAGTGAGCTCGATAGATACTAACATACACGGTTCTAGTGTAGCCTAGATTATATGTTATTGAGGAAGGGACTAAGTGTAATTAATTAAACGAAAAAATCGGCTCTACGTTTGTTTATTATAGAGTCAGAACGAGGTACCTTTTTGTTTGCACCTGTTTGCATAAGAGTAAATGGGGAAAAAAAGCAAACTTTAACTAGTTTTTTCAACGTAACTACTGAATCAGTAAGCTAAGACGTGTGACCAATAACCTACCTGATGGCGCAAAAAGCTGAAGTAAAATGTAAGCCATTTTAAGAGAGATCATTCATTAAACTGGTATAAATGAGTACATTAACTTATATTAAAATCATCTATTTGAACGGTGAAATATATGATTCGTAATTTTTGCTTTATTAGATCTACCAGCAAACTTTGCTCTGGAATGAATATCGTGTGTATGGCTGAAGGTGCAGGTGGAAATCTGTTCGCACGCCATAGTCTGTTCTGTTTACCTAATTCGAATTCAGGCATGTAGGGAAAAACCAGCGTTACGTGAGTACGCTTTTAGAGTACGTTTGTGTAATTCAGAGGGATTGTTTAAAACATGACATAAAACGATACTATATATTGACTGATTGATTTTGGTCTGTTATGCGCTGACGCAGCAGTCGTTTAGGAAAAACTTGTTCATGATAAAACGCTGTGCAAGACCTAAAGTTAGCTCATGATGAAAGGCTATACCTTTCTGTTATTATAGTGCTTCCCATTCGAGACGGTTGCTCGCACCGGAAAAACGTGGGATCTAACATTCGTCTCATAGTAATAACAATGTCTGTTTGTTACTTATTTGAATTCAAATTGGAACAGTCAGTCAATCAACGCGAAATATCTGCGGCCGCCATCTAAGCGATAGATATGTCCAACAGTACCAAAATATTGAAATGAACAGCTTATTTTATAGACAATTTCAATTATTTAATGACTTAGCAAGTGATTATTTAACGGTATACAACAATGAGGCAATTGAACCCTGCTTCAGGGTAGTCATTTTCGAAGTAGTGACAAAGAATTATACCTTTAGCGAATGTTTGAAGACGACGTCAGGCAATTTCGAAACAGACACATAAAATGAAGACTTAGTTTTAAAAATACCACAATAGAATGAAAAACGGCCCGGTGTCGCCTTCGTAGAAGTGTACAAAGCATGGTATAAAGCAGTCTAGCATTTTTCCCCTGTGGGAGAGGGCTTCTCCGATTTTACCCTTCGACACAGGCATTTAAATAAATATTGAGTCAATATGATAGTTATATTAGCATGTATTTAGCCTGAACACTGAAAACTTGGACTAAAGCGGTTTTGTCAAACATGCTTGAGATCAGGTGGTTGAATTATGAGTGATAAGGTGATTTTTTGTGCAGCAGTGGTAAAAAAGCGACTTCAGTAAGGGTCTTGTCTGAGTTTCGCAAGGGCAAGTAGACAGTTTATTTAGAAACATTCCACTTGCCCTTCCATTTTTTTGCAACCTTGCGAAGTTTTAGCATTCAAATCGAAAACGTAGCTCCCTGCCGTTGAGTCATTGAGTTGTTAGTAGAAATGTCGTATCTTACTATATTTATATTTTTCTTCTAAACACTATAATAGCTAAACGGGGTTCGCAGTTTGCTGAACATGATCGACTGCAATAAAAAATCAGTATAAACTAGCGACCATCTTTAGTGAATATATTATACAGTTGAAGAGAGCGTACCTTCCAGGTACAAGCTTTTTTCTCAAATCTTTGCACTCGTATTGATTTGTGAAAGTACAATGTTTTCGCAATGTACTGTCATGAAATAGAAGTTTTCACAGTAACCTTAACGGTTTTTTTTTGGTGATGATTCTTAGTGTAGCTCCCATATACTTCGTAGCCGCGTACCAAGCCTCAGTCCCTTTATGTCCACCTGACGCTACGATGTAGGCCACTTTCGGGACACTTATCAGGAAAGGCTCGTCATTATGCGCCAACCGAATCCCGTGCCCCCTCCCGACAACGGCTCCACCCAACACTTGTCAACCCACGGAATTATCTCTCGCACAAACTAAATGGAAAACGACTTTGTAAAATGCTTACGTGAAGGCGATTGTGCCACTCATGTTGGTGGATTTATGCTAACTATGAGCTCGCAAGTTAGATGTCAAGCCTAGTTATTCCGACTTAAGCTCAACGAACATTTCCGGTCTAACACAAGTGTTTATCCGGCGGCTTTTGCACTAAGAGCGCGCGAAACACTCTAAGGTTGTAGTAGGCTCTGTTACTGCTACACTAGGTTCTCGATGTGTCCCTACGGTAACCTCTATAAAATATATTTGAATTCAATAACAAGAACGCTGCAAATATGTAGTATAGTGAATAAAGTGCACATTTGAACGCATCTTGAACCCAAGCTTAGCATACGTGTCACTTTTAGTTTGAAAGTCTAAAGTCTTTGTAAAACAGTTATAATGTTACTCTCGTTTTACAAGTATAAGTAAAAATCCCAAGTATAAAAAAAAAAAAAAAAAAGTAGTATTATCTACTAGTCTCTAACTTATTATTAGCTTATAGCTCCCTTTCATCAGCTATATATAATGGTTCCCATTTAGTTGAACATTGTTTCAAATGAATCTGGCCAAGCATAAATATCTACATGTATTTAGATACTGACTAGGAGAACGACCGACAGTCTACAGTAATCATAAGGAGTTGTTTATGTTAGTTCGCGTTATGAGTTCCTATATTCCTCGTTTTCGCTTACCTCACGATTCCAGCAAAGGATTACCGTCACAAGTACTGTAACAAACATATTTCGATATAATTCCTACCGACGGTTACGGGAATGAAACTCGATGAATTTGGAATTCGTAAGACGATTTTTTTAGTACGTCTTTATCAAGTTCCTTAGCGTGTGGTATTGTTTTTAAAAATCCTCAGCAAAGCTTTTTAACAATGTGTCATCGTGTGTTTGTTATTCTGCAGGTATCAGCGAAATGCAACGTACAAACAACTGTTTTGATCTGGCATCGGTTCTCATCAAACCTGTGCAACGCATCCTTAAATATCCACTGCTAATTAATGAACTCGAGAAAGCTACTGAGGACGCTCATCCAGACAAACAGCTGTTATTGCAAGCAATGGACGACATGGCAAGGGTATGCACGTTAAAAGCGAGCATCGTACTGGCAACACGGCTATGCTTTCATATATTTTCATAATATTTTTCACTCTTCCAAGGTGGTAGCTTTGCGAAAAAGACATGAAAATTAATTGGCAAGCAAATACAGATAATTTTTTTGTCTAAGTATTGCAGTTTACTAGAAATTGATCCTATTTTATGGAAGTATGTTCGCAGACAATTCCATAATCTTCCCAAAGTGTAATCACTATATAGCTATGACTGTGCTTGCATTCATAACTCTACGGACTAAAATACGAAGCGAAAAACATAACGAAATGAAAAATCTTCTGTAATGATATATTTACTGAACGTGACAAATAACATACATTAGATATATTCCAAAAGCTCGAAGAAAAAAAACGGTCATTTATCAGAAGAATATCTGATTTTTTCTGGAAAGACTTATTCAGTTCAGCGGTAGTAACAGTTCTATGGTGAACGTACATAGAAATAGTAATGGTCAAACATCGGAAGAAAGTACGAAAAAAAGATTCGAATTAGTCAAAAAAAATTAAAACAAATTTTAGATAATAGAAAACACATTTGTGTCGAACTCTGGAAGGTGGTACTACCTAACAAAATCAAATTATCTTCATTTTATTGTTGTCACACTTTTCTGGAAGCGAATACGAAAAGCCATTACACTAGTTACCCCACAGGCCACTTCATGTATTTTTCAACAACTAAATTTCACGGAAACTATTGTTTGTTCGTTATTATATATATAATATAATATTCTTGTTAAAAGTTTTCTGTGTGCATCGACGCTGTTGTAGAATACACACACGATTGTTTACAACCAGTAGCATTCTTCACCTAGATTTGCCGTAACAGCAAATGTCGTGTGCCTCGAACCGGATTCGGCTGTTGATTTAGCTTTATTTTATCCTTAATGTGACTGTTTGTTTATTGATCTCTGATATAATCTTTGAAAACTACGCCGCTTCAACAACATGTGTGCACAACTTTTGTTTAGTGCTTTTATCAAATTTATATTTATATAGGTTCGAGAGGTTTAGCTGTACGTTTTTTCCCATTGGATTAGTAAATCTTATTCGGTGATACATTTGCAGTTGCAACAATGTGTGTTAATGCTCATTAGCAGACTTAACTATTGGCAAAATATCATAATGGCTTCTATTTTTTTGTACAGGTGGCAACCGATATCAACGAAGTGAAGCGCCGAAAGGATCTTGTTTCGAAGTACCGTTCGAACCCTGAGGCCAGCCTCAGTCAAAGGTTGTCCAAATTGAACCTTCATTCTGTGATGAAGAAGTCTACACGACTCACAGTTAAAATGTCCAGCTCACTTGGCTTCACCACTGTTGTACGTGACGAAGATTTTGAGCGCGAAGAGCATCGATTTATTTTGGTAGAAAAAAGCATCAAGAACTTTCTTAAGAGTATGCGGACGTTTTGTGACCAACTGCAAGAGTGTTTGAAAGTTGGACTTCAACTGGCCGAAGATATTTGTGACTTTCATGCCGAACGTTGCAATCTGCCCGAAGTAGACGGGTTCCGGATGGCGCAGCACGCTATTTATGCCGAATATTGGACGGAATTTATTCGAAACATCGAAAAGCATGTTGTCGAAATTCTGCAGAGTGCACTCGAAATGCTGGCAGCTCCACACAAGATCATCGCAAAACGCGAACACAAACTCTTGGATCTGGCGGCCTGTACAGCCCGCACCGAGAAGAACCGAGATGCGACAAGACACAAGGCTTTCGAAGAGGAAGAACAAAGTGCGCGGAACACTTACAATGCTCTTAATAGCCAACTACTCGACGAACTGCCACGGCTCTGCAGCCTCAGTAGTGATCTATTGGGCAGCTGTGTAGATTCGTTCCTTCGTGCACGCAAACTACTTATCGGCCGAATCACAAGCCAACTGCTTGAACTTTGCGAACTGACCGGAGTGAAGGATTCACCGAGTGACGTGCTTGATACGTTTGAGCATAAACACCGTGCCGCTTTGCAAACGTTTAGCGCTTTCTCAATGCTACAACCTAATCTTTCCGGCAACCCCTTCAAGATGGACTCATTTACCAAGGGAAGCAATTTTCTCAGGAAGTCGTTCAACGACAAACATGGGGTGGCTCTAGACCTCGTTCCACAGACTGACGCCCACCGACAGTGGCTAAAGCAGGAGTACGGGGACAATGTGTACACCGTCGCTCTAACAATACAAACGAGTGATCCTAATGAGATATCTCTTAACAAAGGTGAGCACAATGACCTTATCATGAGCAGGTCAATCGTAATGTTTCGAATGCATAACTTAATACTTGCATTTACCAGCTATCAAATGTTTACATACATGTGAAACAACTTCCGTCCTTTATAATGCTACAATCTTTTATCGCAAAGCCTGCTTCAAATGGTGGTCGTTTTGTACTCATAAGCGTTCTTTAATCTATATTAATCACCATTGTCCTTAACTCCTTTGATTGAGTAAGACAACTCAAAGTTTGTCATTGCTTTACACACATCGTACTCGTCCTATACTCTACTAACGTTTCTGGCACCGATTTATTTCTTCTATACATTCGCCTAATATTCCCTGTTTTGCGAAAAACAAGCCTTCCGCATCAGGAACTAAACGGATATATGATTATGTGTATATTATGTGTATCGATTATTGAATGGTTAAATGTAGCATAGGATGCATATTGAAACCTACTTACACCACAGAATCTATGAATTAACTCCGAACGAACAAGCTACACTTTGCATTTCTTTTATTCAAACGTGGTTAATTAGGTACATCCCCCAACATGTCACGTATATGACGCATGAGACCTAATCTTTACGACAAAGCGCGAATAGCTTCATGCACTATTTTGACCATATGGCATCACTATCCGTGTCGTACATTTTAATTATCAATACCTTTATCTAATCGTCTGTCGGGTTTTGTGCCGCATTCTCTGTCACTAGGCGATCTCGTTGGACTGCTCCGTTCGGCAGACCCGTCTGGAAACCCGATGCGTTGGTTTGTCGATAATGGTCGCTGCAAAGGTCTTATTGCAAGTAAACACCTTCTCAGGGACGGCCATAACCGAGTGGTCACGAGTGGTGGACACGCAGTGTCCAGCAGCGGTAGCAGTTTCACTTATTCGACTGCGGTTGCGAACGCTTCGATGGTGATGGCTGTTCCCGGAGTGACCTCGGCCAATGGCGGAGCTGCGCGGCCGACCTCAGGTTCGTTCGCGACAAATCGAGCCACACCAGTGAGACCCACATCACTGACGAGCAATGGCACATCTGTTACTGCTCCTACTCCGGCAGCATCCGCAGGAATCGCAGCGCCAATAGCGTTGGGAAACAGCGTAAATAAGCACCAAGCGGAACTCAGTACCCTGTTCAACAACGCTGTCGGTGCTTCCGCCGATGGCGTTTCTGGCGCGGCCAACATTTCAGCGGTATCTGCTGGTAACAATGTCAAAACCTATTCAAACGGAAATGCATTATACGGTAACGTAGAATCTGCGCTCGGCCTTAGCGATGTCGCACCCCGGGCGTCCGTCGAGGCGCAGTCACTTCAACGACAGAGCGAACGGAACGCCCGGACCTTAGCGGCCGTCAATGGTGAGGGTGTCAAGGTGCGTGAGTTATTTAATGTTTTTCTCCATGATCCTCTTTTCCTGCTCCAACCTATGATGTTTTTGGTTTCGCGACCTACAGCTCTGTATCCTCACGCGAGAGCTTCGCCGATGCTAAAAATCATTCTGTTCAATTATGCTAAATAAAATAGCTAGTTTTGTTCATTATATTTCGCTTTCCTTAGAGCTTACTTTGTACAATTAAGACATAAAATCCAGAAGCTAGGCTTTAAGCCTATGCCGATAGGCTGCACTAGCCTAAAGTGACACGAGAGCGTTTCAACAGAAAATTTATAAAAATGACATCTGTTAAATAAAACAGAACAACTCATCGCAACATCCTCAAGAATGAAGTACATGTAACCTTTATGACATCGACATTTAACGAAAGTATGTAACGATAATATAGCCTTTTTTCACACAGACTGCATCATCGTAGAACATCACTACATTAAAATATGGTAAACGTATCGTAAACATCGTGAGTCACGAATATACGATATATTATATACGCTATATGGCCAAAATATTCGCTGAGATTAAATCGATACGGCCTTGTTGTTGTGTTCATTGCCAAAGAGTTGCTGTCGTGCAGTGACAGATACGTATGCAATAAAAATTAATTCTGCAGGTTTTATTCTAGCTTCTAGGTACACTTTCACCATCTATTACTTCACAGGTGCTGTCAATCTACCCATCGCAACTGCCTTTGCAGCCTTCGAAACGCGTAGTGAATCCGGTAATCAGTAATTTGCCTAATCGCAGTAACCAGAGCGGGGGGCCAAATATTCCCGCCACCAATGCACCCACGTCTCAAACATCCGCCTCTCAGGCCGTCGGTACAAAACGGCTCCATAAGCCTTTACCGGCTTTACCCGTGAAAGAACAGGACAACGTGTATTCAAACCTGGATGCACTCGACAACTGTGATATACAGCCGCAACAGGAACGACGACAACAAATGCAGCAACCTAAGCACGATCCACATTCACTGATCGATGTTCGTCAGAGGCTCGAAGAGGTTGGTGTCACATCGACTGACGTTTTGCTGTTTAGATACACTGTTTCAAATAGAAATATAGAGTGCGTATACGTAAAATTGAATTACCTCGCATATGTCCACCACATATGATATTTATAAAGGAGTTCCACCAAAAATTGATAACAAGTGTTGCAATAAGCAAATGTAGCAACCATACACATAATCTGTCCGATTGGCCTCGTGGCTTGGCGAAGCCATCCATGCCAACAAAGCAATCTCAGAAGCACACTACACTCCGAAATTTCTCCGAAAAAATTCTCCGAAACAATCTCGTACGTTTTCAAACGTACGCTATTATAACGTATCAATATAACAATAGAAATAAATATACGGAAGGTTATCCTAGAGAAGTCAAACTTCCCACTGTTCCTAGGATTGTGCGAATGATCGAATACGTTGCAGGTCCTTGTTACAGTTTAATATTCTTTGCTTATGTACCAGTAGGATTCATGAGTTGATACACATGATTCGAATCAGTCGGCTTTCAAGGGTAGACTGACGGCTCAAGTTCTTACGTAAATAATAATAAATAATACATATATAAAAATAAGTGTCTGTCGTACATTAATACACCCTTACACTTGCCTATTTTGATCTTGACCAATAAACCCAATTGTATTTTCGATCTCGTTGCTTTGCTTGCAGTATTATTACGCTCTCTATAAGCTCGATGAAGTCGGACCTGGTCAGCTTCCACTTGCACAAGGTCAAGTGGTGCTTGTGATCTTCACATGCGACCTTGAAAACAACTCTGAGTGGTGGTTTGTTGAAGATCGCTATGGTAAACAGGGATACGTGCCCGCTTCATACCTCCGAAAATACAAAATGCCCTAGAAGGCTTGCGGCCGGTGATCTATCTGAAAGAATCAATCCCATGCAGTCGTACTGCAGTGAATCAGAAAAAAATATCGAAGTTCGCCTCGGGCGTCGAGAATCTTTTACAAAGAGTGAACTATGAAAAAGAGACATGTGGGTCAGCGCATAAGAGAGATGTGGGTCATTAGAAAATATTCAACATAATAAGAAATAAATGTTGAATTGAGATAGCTATAGGGGCTGCAGTTTAAGAGCAGAAAGTAGTAAGTGCCCAAACCAAAAAAAAAAGACCGTATTCTGCACAACTGGTGCATAACAGCCAAGAGGTGCCTCTATGCTTTGCTTGACGGCCATTTAGTGTTTAGTTAAACAACGAATTTAGAGTCAACGTGACGAAAAACATAGCAACGAGCTGTTAAACACAAACGAAGTCAAGACAACTTCCGTGTCGTTTAAACAAGTCAAGTAAGCGAAGATGATGCTAGCTAGCTAGCTTTAGCAAAGATATATGCGTTGGATATACTAGTTTTCTTTTTTATATTTTGTTATAGCCATTGTAGGATACACACACAGTGCACTTGAAAATATCAGATTTAAATCACTATTTAGAAGAACACACACATATATATATATATATATATATATATATATATATATATATGATGTGCAAGGACTGATCTGGCTCGATTGTTGGGTTCTGGCCATCCTGTGGCCACAGAAGGCCAACCCTGAGTCGGTCAGTCGTGACAACCTTCCATTGAGTATCGAAAGTTTGCCCCCGTAGAAGAGCGAAACTTGGTTTAGAATATGTTCAGGTAGTTTCAGAGCGTTCGACAAACTAGAGGCAAACGTCACGTAAGGAAGGGCCGCAGAAAGGTGTTGTGTCAAGACTTCGCGGGTGATCCTTAAATCTACTAAGTTCTACCCATGACGTGCTTGTTCTGTCTACACGAACTAAGAACGAAGCACGACGACAACAAAAATGAGGGGAAAAATAGCGAATTAAATTTTCAGGACCGTCCATCTTCTTAAGTGCACTGATTGCATGTGGGGATTTTAGCAGTGGAACTCAGGAATAGTCAATTGTGAACAATGAAACTACGTTATCGGAGAAAATGTAGTCTTCTAAATTTGCAAAATCAACTGTAACATATAAAGCTTTTAGTTACAAATAATGGAAAAGCACTAAAGGAGCTCCTGGAGATCAAATCAATACTGTGACAAATAGATACCGTTAGTGTGTATTAGTGGCAGGAGACTACAGGCCATTGGCATTTATTCAAAGTATCACGCTATCGGACGATAAGTCACAGTTGGCAACCAAAAACTACCAGCTTAGCAACGCGGAAAAGAGCAGTTACAGAACGGCGATTTCATGGCGCGTATCATAAGGCCGAGATATTGGTGATCACTGTCGGCCTTGAAATAGGATAGCGAAAAATTAATTAATGACAATGATGACGGTTATGATGAAAACAATCACTGGGGAGTAAGGAAAAGCAAAGGTTAAAACATCTCTAGCCTTTAGTGCTGCCGCTGTGCTTCAACGACGGGACGAAGTCTCATTAAACATACTGTTGTATTATAGGCAATGTTTAGTTATACTGACAGGGAGTGATTACATAACGGAATTCTAGAATTCATGCAAGATTAACATAACGGTCCTGAAAACACCTATCAATTATATAATATATAAGAAAAAGTTGAAAGTAATAAAAAAAACATAATCCTAAAGCTAATCATGGATTATTCCTATTGTAATTATTACAGCCCGGGTTATGGAGAGTGGTATGTGGAGCATAGATTCAGAAGCACATGATAATACTATCGCAGATGCAATGTAGCAAGAACAGACGAAGCGGAGAGAGGCATTTTAAGAAGTGTGAGAATTAGTCATTTCTCATGTTTCAATAATATAATTTATTTGCTAACAATAAAAATAGCATTTTGTGATGAAATACACATCATTGATGCACTCTTTGTTGCTCTTCATCTGCTACGTCATATAAATACAATTTTAATAATGGGTCCTACAAACACACACATGAACACACTCAGTATTAGTGAAACACCGGATCGAAGCGAAATTTATGACTCTTTTTCATGTATCTTCTTTGATGGCTGCGACAGCCGCTTAAATGTTTCTGTACTTCTAAATCTAATCAACAGACCCCTACATACGTCTTGCTACTGCTGCCTGAATTCACGGCCCTAACTATTAAGGGTGCCGCTGCGTTTTAGTATCCATGCACTTACTGGTGCCGCTTCAGTTTGCTGCGTTTGAATGTCTTCATTTTGAATAAATTAGTACGTCTTTCCATTTAGCTTACTGAAAATTTGCAATCACCCATAGAATATTCCAGGTACAGCCAGACCGAGAGCTGGTCCCACGCTTAGACCACCAACGGGTACTTCAAATCCATTTCCGTAGGGCTCAACATAACCACCAAATGCCCCATAGTGTCTGACTGCGGCAACATTAGTATAGCTTTCGCGGGCGCCGTGCAACCCACGATATCCGCCAAATCCTGAAATCAGCACGATACCGAAATGTAGTAACATATATATACTTCGCTTTGAAGACGAGAACTTTACATTTACAGTAATTGATTAGCGATCTCAGTTTACTGACCGGGCAATAAAAATCGTTTCTCAGTATCTTTTTTTTGGTCGTCAGAACTGGGGGTTACAGCCTTCTGTTGTACGTTGTTAGTGGCGGCAACAGCGGCAGTATCCTCCTCGACGTTCTTCTTGAGACTTTGAAGCGTCGCCTCCTGACCTCTCGGTGCTTCAGATTTTAGGTCAGCAATTAGTTCCTTTTTTAGATCTACAGCTGGCACAGCGACATCAGCTATAACTGAAGTAGAAATTCTCCCGCTTCCTAAAGAAGCCGCATGGGCAAAAGCGCCCACACAGAATATCTGTAAAATATAGATGCAAGCATAAAGGCTATGTATGATTAGGCAAAAAATCACCGTACCATTGTCGGTATATAGAAAATATACACAGGTGCATATTTGTCGCGTCAAAGAGCACAAACATAGATGATCTGCGAAATCAACGCATGATTACGCAGATCACAACAACGTTCACGTGTAAAGATTAATATGAATTATGATTTTTGGAAGGAGTTTTTGCAGAAAATCAGAGAAGCAACGTGGATGGATAGTGAAAAATGTAAACAAATTGATCAAGTATAACTATTTGACTCTTGCATGATTAGTAAATCCCTGAACGTCTAACCCTGAGTTAGTCAATTTGGCTGAGTAATCAATAAGACAATTATGTGTGCAATTAAAAAAAACGTAGTCTATTTACGACACAAAAAACGATTTATTTAAATTGATCTGTTTATCATTCGTTAGTTTTAATTAACTGTTTGAAATAGGAATGTAGCTTGCATACATATAAAATTAAATTAGCCTGCTTTTATTTATATAATTTTATAGTTTTAAAAAATTCCTAAAAAAAAGTAAGTGCGATACGCCTGCGTGTCAATCATATACATGACCCGTCCAATTGGTTTCGTAGCCTGACCGACTTTGAAAGCTAGCAATCGCATTACATTTCAATATAAATCCTCTGAGAAAATTTTAAGTGTTAGACAAAATAAATTGAGAAATGGTATTAAGCTTTACTATCGAGATGCTGAAGTAACGATCGCGTTCCGTTAACATGCATAGTTCACTGATGATGTACATTTTTGATAAAAAAAAAAAAAAAAAACTACAAGTGAATAGAAATTCTTGAGATAACATGGATAGATAACAAGTAGCGACAGCACTGATGCAACTCAGTGTCAGCGAAGAATAGGTTCAATCATGGTAAGTAGCTTACTCAAAGCCAATACAAATAAGGCCATCATTATGATGCTGTACAAGGCAAACTTTTACACTGGGAAAGCCATGCTCTACGTATCTCAGACTATAAGCTATAAATCATGGATAGTCTGGTCCAAAAGAGCTTTATCTTGAATGAATGTATCATAAGCATAGATCCATACAGCCCTATTTTTAGAAAGTTATTTGCAATCGTGTAACAGCTATTGTAAAATGGAGAAACTTTTAGATAAAACAAGCAAAGTTAAGGACGTTTTAAGGCAACATATATATAGTTCAGTCTAGCTCAGTTAACACAGTAAAAACAATAAACTCAATCACACTTACCATAAACAGTTTCATATTATCACTGATATATTTGCGGCGGCTAGGAGAAAATCTTTACGCGGGCAGTGTAGCAGCATAAACAGAAGCACCGTTTTTCAGCGAAGCGCAGTTTTAACAGGCGAAGACGACTCCTCATGTCCCCTCACTCTCGAGCAGCGGCGTATTTTACCTCACACATTTGCTTGGCACAGTTTTTCCTGTCATGACTTCGTTCTTAACATCTGATTCTTTCGTTCGGCTTTGCAGTCTGGGTGATTCCGGTGAGCGCTACTGAGTTCATTGACTTCAAGTAATAATTCAAATAAAAAAAAAGCGGCTGGCGATAGGTGTGGCCGCACAGGACACATTGCATTGCTGCCGATCCATTTATCTACTACACAGCCACTGATGACCTGCATGCATCGCTAGATTTATCGCCCAGAATGACACTGATTGACCAAAATAAACTGCTTCAAATGGTATGATGTACTTCAAATGAAGTTCTCGCTGATGCATAGCATCGGGCCCCGATGGGCAATAACACTAACGATCACGAAAATGACAGCGCAAAGAAATGTCGTACACTTCAATGCGTTTAGATATCGTTGCTGTTCAGTAATGAATACAACTCTAGTTAAACTAGCACACTAATGACGATCCGTAGCAATACATATTCATATATGATGTACTGAAACCTCACGGGCGTGTGATGGACATAGCTTAATAAAGTCATACCTTAGTCCTCATAGTAAAGTAGCATTCTTTTTCATTTGTTACCCACTTTAATAACGACTAGACACGATAACAAAGCTTGTAAAAGCAAGAACAGCGCCGCCTATTTATGTTACAACGCCTCGTGATTTTATCGCCTTTTATTTCATACCTGCACCGAAATACAGGCAAGCTATCGACTTTTTTTTTTAAATCAGGTTTAGTTTAGGAAGAGTTAAATTCGGATTCAAATAAAAAATGCAACATCAATCAATGCAAGGATTGCTGCATTATTTCAGTGTATTATTTATAGAAAAATTATCATATCAGAGTATTATTTATAGAAAAATACATTGTTCTTCTTTTCTATATTGAACGAAAGAAAAAGCTTCAGATGAAGTTTATATACGTGTTATGCTGACGACTTCTCGCGAGTATTCAAACGAAAGCTCCTTCTGTATTAAAAAAAAAAGTGAAATCGAGCTTCTTCTTTTAGTCACATTTGGTTATCATTTTATGAAATTAAAACATTAAGGAACAAATGGTTTGGCATTATTTAATATGCTAAAAACTACTGTGGTTTTACCTATACATGGCTGGTACCTCAACTGTTATCAGAACTTCCAAAGCAGCCGCGTCTCAAAAACATGTCTTCGGATATTTCGAGATAATGCCAACATACTTCTTGGCCTCCTGTACTTTAAAAAAAGCAACGAAACTATAGTTAGTAGTTCTATACAGAGCAGTTTTTTTCCCACTTTGAAATATTGTGCAGAGACAACATATACACAGTTGACCGACTCTCAGTCCAGAAGAATCCACGTCTAAAATTGCCAAGACGGTAGCGTCTCGTCATATATAGCATATATATAGCAAGTTAATATATAATAGTCATATATATAGCAAGTTGGTCGCATTTTGTTTGCATTTAGATTTTCGCGCACAACATTTCTACCGAGATTCTTCCAACACGAACGTACCGCCACAGTAAGGCGAAAATGACAAAAAGCCGGGAACGCCCAGAGTATCAGTTTTTTTTTTGATAAAGTGGAATCCGCAACCCAATGTTCTTCGAAAGTTTCGAAATTAAGGCTGTTCATAGTGAATCTAGTTATGTGATCTGCTGCAAAACACTTAATTTTATCCATTTGATCTTCTATACCCATGCGGTTCGCTATCTCAATATCTGGTTGTGGTGGATATTCCACTTGTACGCTCTCACCCACGTTGCCCTTCCATGGCAAGTATATTATGCGCCTTGTAATTAAATTATTGGTAAGCTTCCTCATTGTGTGTATATATACCGTCAATAAGCCTTACATCTTACATGGATGTAAGGCTTATTGGCCTTGATCCCGTTCATATTTATCTAATATACATTTTTCCAAACTGCTATAGAGGCTTTGCCCGTAAGCTAACTTCCACTTGCAGTGGACGCTGCTTGACCAGCATCTACACAGCTTCCTAAATTTGTGCTGTTGGTTCCAATCAGCGGGTTTTCAGTCAATTGACATGGTCATCCGGCCTGGCCCATTTGATAATCACATTTACGATAGCTGCAGGTAACAAGATGAATCTATATTTCACTTAAGCTCAGACATAATCGACGGCATGAAGTGTGAAAGTAATGGTGCCACACTCTTAACATGTTACATTATTCATTCTAAAGGAAATTAAGTGCGCATACAATAATGTAAGGCACATACCTGTTTTTTTGTTAGCGAACGAATTAGCAATATATTAAAGAAGCACGATAGTCTGGTACGAATGGGCCTCGGGTGGTTTCTTGCTTACTGTCTATTACATACGATACTTTATTAGACCAATGTATGTACAATAGATCACATTATCACGGTCTACGTGTAACAACAATGAACGCTAATCACAAACAAGCCATCAGTGACTCGCGTCGAATGTCTCGGCTGTGATAATACACGCAGCACATATGTACCTCCTACACTGGTTACATCGTATTTCAAGAGAAATCTCGATATGTGCCACCAGTATTCTCCAGTCACTGCTAGGTTCCACCAACAACTCGGAATTACATTGATAACGAAAGCTATTTACATGCATACCACAGAAACCTAGTGTATTTAGGAGTGTCACAGACGTTATACACGAAAATTGTGAATAAGGCACGCGTATGGATTTTCTAAGCGTATCTGTCTCACAAAAAAATTGAAAATAAATCTACAAATTTCCTTAACAAATCTCTAATTTTGAAGCATTTTATAGTATAGTTTTTCTGACCTGAAGAAAGATCGTAATTAATATATAACTGCTTGTCTTACCACTGAAAGTGGGTGCAGTCTAATATTATTTTCGCTGAGAGTATACACTAACGGTTCGTAGACCTTTCTGTAGATTTTTCCAAGTAAGGATGAAGAAACTATATAATCATTTTCTACATGTTGGGCAATGTTCAAATGAAAAAACATTACTTAGAGTCCTCAAACACTCAGGCGGTCCTTATGCACTTCGCCGATCATTACAACTAAAGAACAGGATACAGACCGGCATCGCCTATCTCGCCAGATTTAGGAGATTATATATACGAATGGCAGATATACGAAGGACAGCTTAATACAAAAGCCTCCAAGGATCCTTTAACAATCTAGGAAGCAACCTAAATGATACGACAAAACTATAATCGCTGGCAAAATCAATGAAGATGCCATAGATTACCTGTAGACAGATGCCCCTCACCCAGGGCAGCACTTCTTAAATGGCTGGCTAAAAGAAACCTTCAAGTAGGTGGACAATGCCCGCAATATTCTGTAGAAGCGGCAGAAGGCCTGCACATAACTGGTGAACAATATACGGAAGCAGCTAGGGAATCGGTCGTCGCAGATGAGTTGAGGAGTTTGGGCGATCAAAGAGATTTAATATGTAAGAGTTAGGTCGAAAAGATATAACGTCTGAACGTAGCTCCCACTGAACAGGAAGCGAAGATAAGTCCTGACTTGAACTTTAGGAAGTAGAACACGCCTATGTTAAAAAGATACGATCAACTAACTGCCGTACGCTGCAAAATTCTCTTGAACACGAAAACCTAAAAGAGATATTGACGGACGCTTTCAAGACTGCAAAAGCTTTGGGACGTACCATAACCAACAGGCGGAAAATAAGGCGGAAAAAAGTTGAGTTATGGAAATTAGGAAAGTCTTAGCGAAAGACGTCAAGGACGAGAATAACGGTACGTGATTGAAGTCAACACGTTCAACAGGACAACAACAGAAAGTTGACCCAGGGAGAGATTGTGGAGGCGGTTGGAACAAAATCAGCAGAGAGGCCAGAGCTCAGACTACCAGAAGGTGCGAAACACTTGCTAACCAACCATATTCCGGCAAAATCCTCTAAAAATGGCCATCAAACTGTTATAACAAGATTATTTCTAAAGAAATATGGAGGGTATGCTAATGCGCACATCAAATCGTAATAAGCCCGCTGGGTTAATAAGCTAGCACAAGTCTTGGTGCGGTGAGTTTTGAAGCTCTTGCTATAAAAAGACTCACTAAATAAATTGGAGGAATCCTTAGATTATAGATAAGATTATCTGTTTGCGATCTATTTGTTTCTGCTACTGCTAAGGAATGGCTAACTAAAAAAGTTTTTTCTGTTGGCCTAAAAACGTGCTAGGTCGTTCGTTATGTGTATAATTATACTGGGATGAAGCGTGTAGCGGTTTTTAATAATACGGAAATTTCTAGATAACTACTGCCAGTAGCAGCATGTAAGGGGCTGCCTGATGTCGAGTAAACCGCAATAAGACCCGTAGCAGCTTTTTTGTTCATAGCATTTAATGTTTTGGGTTTTACTGGCACTGCTGCCAAGCGTCGCTTTAGAAAGCTGACCTCCAACACGGAACTAGATGTTTGTAACATTTGGTGGCAGCCAAACGGCTTGAGCCAGCTTGGTGCCAAGGAGCCAGACGTGTGGATAGCAAGGTTCGATGCCAACTGCGGCTGGAAACAGTATTTCGACTAAGCCGAGGCAACATATAGGCACGAATGATAAGAGCACGACGGTACTTATGCCGTAGTCGAAATTCTCGTCGTTTTTTTATCCCAAGTAATCGTATGCCGCCGCCTATTCTTCCACCCGATATACTTCGATTGTAATACACCATGCCCAGCAAATGGACTTTACAATTATAACCCACTGAATGGGCGGTCGCGTGTTCCGAGCCGCGATTTCCTGCGCATGTTTAACTGCTGGGAACGGGGACATCTAGAGACTCAAGGCCTGATATCTCACCGTTCACCTGAGCCAGTACATCAACTGCATGATGAAGGCTCCGATAAACCGTTGACTCTTGAGGTCGAACGCTCTTACGACTTGTGGCCGAATATAAGTGCGACTTGTTTCTATCTGGTGAACAGGAAATGGAAGTACAAATTGTTGTCAACGATGGGCTAAAAAAGACGTAATTCGTCATCGAAGAATTTGTAAGGAGTTTCATTCTGAAGACGCCATTCCTCTCAGGATTTTAGAAGATGAAGTAATATTATTTCGCATATTCATCCCATGATGATTTTATCCACATACTGTACCACAGCCCGGTGGAGCCGTAAGTTGTTATCCAAGGAAAGCGTATGTATTCCAGTATAGTGATCTGCGCACAAATGTGCACACGTGATATATAGTGCTGTTCGCAAATTTTAAAGACAGTTCAGTCCGTGAAAAACCGCACCTTCTTGGCTAATTGCAGAGGTCCAATGGAGATCTACGGGCTGAAAATGACGAACAATTTTTGATTGTATTCCTCTGGCTAACGGCCAAACAACATGGCTGCCTCAAAGCTCCTCGTAGGTCGGTACAGCCTTCTTCTATCTTCGAGCTGTCACACAGACCCAAATATACCGATCTTGTCTAGCACACGATACGAACCGATGACTCACTGCCTATCGTTGCGTTCTCCGAGAAAC